AGTCCAGTGAGCTGCCCCATTTGCCGACCGAGGAGACCAATGGAAAGACAGGTTAGAACAGCGAGCTAACATTCTGATATCCTCAATAATAGGTGCACAAGTCCAGGGAGGAACATCTTCAGAGACACACAGCGAAATGACTGATTTGTTGTCCCCCTCAATTTCTACCTGAGAGAGATTAAGAGCTCGGGCCATGAGGCATGCCTTACGGACCGCAAAAGCCTCCCCTTGCAAGACGGATTGCACGGCTATCCTTTGCACAGCCCCATCTACCAACTCACCTTTCCAATTTCGAAACAACACCGCAATAGAAGCCGTGGTGGAGCCTTTTCCCATGGCCACATCACAATTCGCTTTAAAACAACCTGACGAAGGAGCATTCCAAACTTCTTTTGAAACTTCCACTAATGGATGATTGAGGCTTCCCCCGAAGCTATGACAAGGGCCAACTGAGAGAAATTCCAGATTACCCCTAGCAGCTTGGTAAATGGTAGACTGCGGATCCACTGGCAATCGATGAAAGACCAGAGCATTCCTAGATTTCCAAATGTGCCAACCCACCCACAAAAGTTTACTGAAAAAGTACATCCGCTCTTTAGTATGGGAGAAGGCAGAATATAGATTGCACATCCACCTAGAAATAGATGTAACCTCATCCTTGAAAGTCAGGCTCCAATCACTGCCAAACCAGACAGCTTTAGTCCAAGTACACCCGCAAATTAAATGCTCGATAGATTCAGACTCAGCAAGGCAAATTGGGCACACATCCTCCCGAGAGCTTTTACGACGGAATAAATTTTGTTTCGTAGCCAGAGAATTGTGGCAGCAGCGCCACCAAAAATGTTTGAGTTTCGGAGGGACCGGAAGGCCCCAAAGCATTTTCCAGACCTGATCCGGAACTTGGAAAGAAGTGGACGGGCTGGCCGAAAGCTGAGTTTGTTGAAACAGTTTCTCTTCTTGGTACCCAGATTTGACTTGATAAAGGCCTTTAGGATCATGGTGCCAGATAATAGCATCTTCAATGTTGCCAGAAGAGATAGGAAGGGCACAAACATTACGGACATCAGAGCTTGAAATCATACTCTGCAACAGCCCCACATTCCAGGAGTTTGCGGTCGAATTAATGGCATCTGCGACTTTAGAAATAGGACACCCAGCTGGCTTAGGGGATTTGATTATGAAATCCTTTGCCGTTGCAACCCATTTATCCTCCCAAAACTTGACTGAGGCCCCATTTGAAATTTGCCACCGAGACCCACGTTGAAGAATATTACGGCCCTCAAGAAGACTTGCCCACGCCCAAGAAGCTCGGGATCCTTTGGAAGCATGCCAAAAATCTGAGCTAGGGAAATAAATACCCTTTAAGAACCTGGCCACAAACGAGTTGGGATATTTGAGAAGACGCCACCCTTGCCGGGCTAGTAATGCTTTATTAAAAGCTCGAAAATCACGAAACCCCAAACCCCCTTTCATCTTAGGCAAGGTCAACTTGTCCCAGGCTGCCCAATGAATTCCTCTGCTCTTAGAGTCACCTGACCACCAAAAATTGCTCATCATTGAGTTCATAGACTCACATAAACTTTTGGGGAAAAGAAAGCAGGCCATTGCATATGTGGGGATGGCTTGCACTACGGCTTTTAGTAAGATTTCTCTGCCTGCATGTGATAGAAATTTCGTCTTCCAACCTTGAAGCTTATCCATCATCCGTTCTGTCATATAACTAAAGCCTTCCTTTTTTGATCGGCCCCAACATGATGGCAACCCCAGATATTTCGCCCCAGCCTTCACTGGTTTCATCTGCATTAACTCACAAATTTGATGCTCTACCAAAGGCCGCACCGACGATGAAAACTGAATGCCCGATTTGTCAAAGTTGATTGACTGTCCCGAGGCCTTGCAGTACATCTCCAAAACTTGTAGAACATTACGACACTAGCCCAAATCAGCTTTCAGAAATAATAAGGCATCATCCGCAAACAGTAAATGGGATAGAGTCGGGCAAGACCTCCGCACCTTGATCCCTGCGAATTGATGGTCTCTAAGGCTTTTGTGCAAAAGCTTGGAGAGCACCTTAATCTCAAGAATAAAAAGATAAGGAGGCAGAGGGTCCCCTTGGCGAAGTCCTCGCGTTGGTTTGAAACAAGTCCGTTTAGCCCCATTAACAAAAACAGAGAAAGTCACTGTTGAAACACATTCCATCACCCATCTAATCCATCTCTCATGAAAACCCATTTTCCGAAGAACAGCTTCAAGGAAATCCCACTCAACCCTATCATATGCCTTGTTGAAATCCAACTTAACCGCCATATTTGAGCACTTTCCAGTCTTTTGGAGCTTGAGGAAGTGGAAAGCTTCATGAGCCACCAAAATATTGTCCTGAATTAGACGGCCGGGAACAAAAGCCGACTGATTAGGTGAGATAATACCAACCAAAATACTCTTTAAACGGTTTGCCAAAACCTTTGTGATGATCTTCAGATGAAAATTGCACAAACTAATGGGCCTGTACTGTGATAATTTAACAGGAGCCTTAACCTTCGGGATGAGGACAAGATTTGTTTGATTCATCTCTTTAAGTAAAAAGCCTCTATCAAAAAAACTGCAAATTGCCCGACACACTTCAGGGCCAACTTCCTCCCAATACTGTTAGTAGAAGAACCCCGGGTACCTGTCAGGACCTGGGGCTTTGAAAGGTCCAAGCTGAAAAACCGCTGTCTTAATTTCCTCATCGGTTACATTACGGGTAAGTCTCTCATTCAATTCCCTAGTAATGATTGGCTGTACCACTGCTAAGGCCTCCTCCATATCCCGCACTCCTCCAATTGAGAAGAGATTGGCAAAATACCCATGTAACTGTTGATTTATTTCCTCATCCGAATCTAGCCAAACTCCTTCTTCAAATTGGAGCCTTAGAAGTTGGTTGCGTTGACGCCGTTGAATGAGAGTTGCAAAAAAAAAGGCTGAATTTTTGTCCCCATAAGAGAGCCAATTTATTCGAGATCGTTGGTGTAGAAACATTTCCTCCCTTGCCAAAGAAACCTCCAATTCAGCCTGGATGGAGGATTGTTCAAGAATATTATCTTCGGAGGGTGGTTGGCCTTGAAGGCTAGCCATCCTTTCTTTGAGCCGAGCTATCTCCAATTTGGTATTTCCAAAATCCTCCTTACACCATGCTAGCAAACTGCGGCGACAATTTTTTAGACGTTGAACAAGCTAAAACATCGGGAATCCAAGAGGGCACTGTTCCCAAGCTTGTTTAATAACATCACCACACCGGGGGCTAGTTGACCACATCGTTTCAAACTTGAATTGGTAAGGAATTTTCTTCGGTGCGACACAACACTTGATAATCACTGGGCAATGGTCTGACCCGATTCGACTTTCATGAAACACTTGGGCATAGGGAAATAAAGCTCTCCAATCAGCGGTTGCAAAAGCTTTGTCTAATCTTTCTTGAACGTTGGCAAGACCAACCTGATTATTGGACCAAGTAAAAGCATTGCCATTAAATTCCAGGTCCATTAAAGCACAATCGGATAACATAGCCTGAAAGTCTGCAATTTGGGTGCTGCTACACTCCAATCCCCCTTGTTTCTCCCACATAGAACCTACTTGATTGAAGTCCCCAACACATAACCAAGGATAGCGATTACCCAAAGCCTGTCCTCGAAGAAGTCCCCAAAATTCATTACGAAGCTGACGGTTTGGGGGCGCATACACAAAGGAAACTGCCCAATTCTGACCAAGACCATTAGCCCCAATAAGGCATCGAAAGAAATGCTTAGATTTAAGTCTTACCTTAATATCCACCTCATCTGTCCACCAAAGTGCCAAACCCCCCGAGAGGCCCTCAGGGTCAACGTAGCATTTGTGGGAAAATTGAAGTCGACGCCGAACTCTATCTAGCTTCCCACTTTTATTCTTGGTCTCCATTAAAAAAACTATCGAAGGACGATGGGTTAAACATAACCCTCGGAGGATCTGGACTGTCAGGGGTCGCCCCATCCCCTGACAGTTCCAGCTCAAAATCAACATGAGTCTTGTGGCTGTTGAGGGCCAGCCACCACAGCCCATTGTTCTGGAACCTCATCCTCCACAGGAAATGTACTAGGGACTTGAGAGCAACAATCCTCTAAAGCTTCTGGAGACCATTTAATGGGAATGGAAACCAGAGCATCATCTAGGACACATGTTTCAGAAATTTGCCCAACTTTCTCATGAATTTTGAGTTCTCCCCGAGATCGGAGTCTTCCTTTTCGCACCCCTCCAGCAACCCTGGCCTGTTGGCTTTTGATCGCTTTCCTTCGAGCTAAGGGTGACGGAAGAGCCTTACTTTCAATAGCTACGGAAACTTTCAACAGTTTGAGGGGGCGTGCTGGATCCATGAGATCATCAGGGGCCTTCCTTTTAATGGACAGATCTTGAAAAATTCGGGACATACAACTATCCACTAACAGACATCTGTCCCCCAATCGCGCTGTAATACTAGTCTTGGTTGGGCTAGATCCTGGGCTTACCTCCTCAATCCCAATATCGGACCTAGGCCCAACAGGCCTTAAAACAGGCGGAACCTCCACTAGAGGATTGAAATGTTCTGTGGGTTCTGTGACAAAATATTGTGGTCCTAGCCCACCATCAGTATCTAAGTGGGGCTTGGGCTTTGTCTTTCTGGCCCTATCTTGAGCGGACACCGTTTGCCCCTGGGTGGGTGTAGCCAAACAACTAAAATTCACTACTTGCTTTTCACACACGGTGGACATAACGGTTGTGACTCCTGGCCCACTGCCTCCACTCATCCCACTAATTTGTTCATTGCTGGGTCGTGGAGGTGATTCTCGTACAACAAGTACAAAGGGGGCCTCAGGTACAGCCACGTTTGATACAGGAACACTAGGTGAAACCCCCATTCCATCCCTGGTATCGTTGGCCCTACGCGCCACCGGTCTGCTGTGAATCAAAGTTGGCACCCTCTGCGCTGCCTCATCAACCCAATGCTTCAACTATTCCGGCGACATGTCCAGCTTAGGCGCTCGTCCTGTCCGCAGCTCTGGTCCATAGCCAGATTTCAGGCCAATCTCACGCGAGACAAATTTGCAAACATTATTGTCATGTCTAATTCGCCCACAATCATAGCAAAAATCAGCCAACTTCTCGTATTTGTAGCTCACCCAGGACTCCTTAGCTGTTGCTGCTGAAGAAGTATTAAGCTGAAGGAAGAAACCCAAGGGAAGAGGTTGGGTGATATCCACTTCAACCCGAATACGTAGAAAACTTCGCTCAAGCAGCAAACCATCATGTAGCGCCTCCACACCGATGAGCTTCCCAATCTGTTGGCCAATAATTTGTGCATTGGTTCTGGTCATTTTGGCCACTGGTAATCCATGAACTTGAACCCAGAAGGGACTCCATTTGAACTCCAAGTCAGAGGCAGAGTTTCCCGCTATGAGTGGTTGTAAAACCAATAAATTACCCATAACAGACCATGGGGCCTCGACTAGAACACGGCGTCGGTCTTCCTTATCACCAAATTGGAACAAAAATAAATTATCAGCCCAGGGGGAGATCACCAGCGGCAACCGAGGTCGCCACGCCCCCTGCAGAATATTGGTGACGCCCGTCCTGTTCAACCTTTTAGGAGCAAGAATCTTCCCAATCAAACACAGAGGGGAGATGTCAACATTCTCGCCCGAACCTTCAACCCCCTCCAAATCATCCAAATGGATGGATTGGGAGGCCATAACAGCAAGAGACAAAAGGAGAGTAGTAGGGATGGCCCTCAAAACCAACCTCGGAACCCACCAGAATCTAGATTAAACAAAACAGAAATCGGTCCCACACACCCCGACCCACTTGAGCTCGCTGCAGAAACAAATTAGCCCTAAAACAGTGAAGAAGAGAAAAGAAAAAGGGAAAACCCCCTAAAGCTACCGAAGGGTAGAGAGACTCCCACAGAGGAGAGAGGAAGGGAATTTTGCGGGGCATTTCCCTAAATAAGCTAAAATAGTAAATCAATTCCCAAACTAAGCCTAGTTTTCAAAGAATTCCCAGAATGAGCTAACTCGCGGTTCACAATCGCGATTTCAACATTTTTCCGCCTGCCCCGCGTGGAAGTGGGCAAAACTTAAATTCGTGGTTACAAAAAGTGCTTTCGATTAACAAATCGCGGTTACAAAATGCGATTTTAATTAATTTTTTTGCTTTTTAAATCGCTGTTACAAACAGCGATTTTATCCAAAAACATTTTTAATTTTTTTTGCTTTTGAACTCGCTGTTAGAAACAGCGATTTTATCCAAAAAACATTTTGTTCTTAATTCGCTGTTGAGAACCACGAGACCTTTCTGAACTCGCTGTTTGTAACCACGAGTTTAACAAAAATCATGTTTCTTATGAACTCGCTGTCCCAAAGGACGTTTTATGAAAAGCAAAAAAAATCATATTCCAAACGACGCTGTGAACTCGCTCTTTGTAACCACGAGTTTAACAAAAATCATTTTTCTTCTCAACCACGCTTTTTTGCCAAAAAAATTTTCTCCTATAATTGTTGTTATGAACCACGCTTTTAGCGTAATTTTTTTTTTTCTTGAGTGACATTATAACATTTTTTGTGAATTTTTTTTGGGTGTGGTATTAAAGTTAAGGTGAGTTATATTATATTTTGAGTTATTATAATATATTTTACGTATGTTTTGACTTACCATATTTATTTTATATAAGTTATGTTTTATAAACTATTATAAATTATATAAATATTTCAGTTACGTAGTTTATTTTCTAAATCCTATTTGTGAAAATGAAACCCATGGATATGTTTGTTTATATTTTAAAAAATATTTGATTATAACCTTATAAACAATTATGTTTTGTAAGTACCACCACGGGAGTCCCATGCCTAGGGGGTTTAAATAACCATTGGCCTCTGGTTGACCACTTTGTAGTCCTCTGTTTGTCATGGATCCATTGATCTCTGTTCTGTGCGGAGCAAAGTGTTGTGCGGAGATAAGTGCTACACTACTGTGGGAGCCAGCTCTATAGTCCATACGAGTCACCTCTTGAATCCGTACATATGTTTTGACTGTCACTTCAGTTACCTCTGTTCTGTTCTGTACCGTGGTTATCGTTATTTACTTACATAGTTTCTGTATTTCAGTTTCTGCCACTTAAATGATTTGTTTGCCAAATTACCGTGGTTATGGTTATTTATTTACATAATTTCTATATTTCAGTTTTGCTACTTAAAGGATTATTTGTTCCGACTATGTCATCTTAAATGTTTTGGCCTAACTAACTATCCATAGTTATTTTGTGTTCCTTATACTCTTGGTATAGTATTTCTCGCTCTGTCATGTGCTTATAGTTGTTTATCAATTTTCAGGAAACAATGCAATTCAGAAATAGCTTTTAGAAAGTCGGGTTACGAAATAGACACCGACAACACTTTTATTGATATTTTTCTATGTAAATATCGGCCTTTTTGGTCAGTATAATTTTGTAATAAAAGAGAAGCTCCGATGATTACTTTGGTACCCTCATTTAAATATTACTTCCGCTCGCGTTTATTGATTTGTTTAAAAATTGGTAGGAGGTAACCTCAGTTACTGGCCATCACGATACTTAACCGTTGGGTACGGGGAGCGGGTCGTGACAAATGGTATCAGAGCAATGGTTTATAAAAAAAAAATCATTGGAGCATAGGACACAATGCACATTTAAGAAGTAGGATACGGGTAATTAGTACCTAAATATTATATTTTTTTTAATCGATTTAATTATATTATAATTTTATATGATTTATATATATATATATATATATATTTTGTGTATGTGCCTAATTTGTGAAGGGTATTAGATATAATTTATATTTGTTATAGTAAAAGAAGGAAAAGAAACAAAGAATGTTGAGCTCAAACACCCACCAAAATTATAATATAATTAAATACATATAATTTCCATTTCAATATTCAAAAAAAAAAAAAATTCATTTCGACTTTTTTAAAAGTGAATTCAAATTTTAAAAATACTAATTTTGAAACTATTCACGGATAAAAGAAATGGAAGTTCATCTCAAATTCCTTAAACTCCTGTATATGATTCTGTCATTTCACTTCCAGTCGCTTGTTTAATTTTGTTCTCATTTTTTTTCGAAAACAAAACTAATGAAAAGGTTTTAAAATCACCGATTGTTTCTCATTTTGACCAAAAATAATTTTTGACAACTAGACAGTGAGATGTTTTTGGTAAAGTGTTTTTTTTTTTTTTTTTTTTTTTTTAAAATTTTTTTTAATCAAGGCCTGACAATAAACTAATCTCTTCAACTCTCCTTGAACTTCTTTGAATTTTGCATTGGTGTAGGCTTGCTGAAATTGCTTCTCAAAGCCATATATTGTTGGACAATCAAACAATTTGTGTTGAGACATGATGTAACAACCCAAATTTTAATTATTCTGTAAAATTTATACTAATATTATTTAATCATAGTTAAGAAAATATACGATTTATTTTGTATTATTATGTATAATTTTGTAAAATAATATAATTATTAAAAATTTAAGGATTAAAATATAAATAATAATAATAATAATAATAATAATAATAATAATAATAATAATAATAATAACAACGGGCAAAAGTGAAATATTGTGAAAGGTGGCCAAACACCTGTTAAGTCTAAGTCCTTTGATGTGGTGAATCATCAGCTAGGAAATTAATTATAGGATGAGTCACCTGTTAAGCTCGCGTATAAAAGAAGGAGGTGATTTGGCTGGGTGAAGAAAAAGAGGAAGAAAGGAAAGAAAGGAAGGAAAAAAGAGAGAAAGGAAAGAAGAAAAGGGGAATAAAATAAAGGAAGTTGAAAGGATTTTTGGTAGTAGAAAGAAAGAGTGATGTATTAAAGTTAAAGTGAATTATATTATGTTTTAAGTTATCATAATATATTTTACGTATGTTTTGACTTATTATATTTATTTTATACATGTTATGTTTTATAAACTATTATAAATTATTTAAATATTTCAGTTACATGGTTTATTTTCTGAACCCTATTTGTGAAAATGAAATCTATGGATATGTTTATTTATATTTTAAAGAATATTTGACTATAACCTTATAAATAATTATGTTTTGTAAGTACCACCACGGGAGTCCCATGTCTAGGGGGCTTAAATAACCATTGGCCTCTGTTTGACCACTTTTGTGGTCCTCTGTTTGTCATGGATCCATTGACCTCTGTTCTGTGCGGAACAAAGTGCTGTGCGGAGATAAGTGCTACACTACTGTGGGAGCCACTTCTATAGTCCGTACGAGCCACCTCTTGAATCTATACATCTGTTCTGTTCTGTTCTGTACCGTGGTTATGGTTATTTACTTACATAATTTCTGTATTTCAGTTTCTGCTACTTAAATGATTTGTTTACCAAATTACCGTGGTTATGGTTATTTATTTACATAATTTCTGTATTTCAGTTTTGTTACTTAAAGGATTATTTGTTCCGACTAAGTCATCTTAAATGTTTTGGCCTAACTAACTATCCATGGTTATTTCGTGTCCCTTATACTCTTGGTATAATATTTCTCACTCTGGCATATGTTTCTAGTTGTTTACCAATTTTCAGGAAACAATACAATTCAGAAATAGCTTTTGGAAAGTCAGGTTACGGAATAGACACACACAGCACTTTTATTGATATTTTTCTATGTAAATATCGGCATTTTTGGTCAGTATAATTTTGTAATAAAAATAGAAGCTCCGATGATTATTTTGGTACCCTCATTTAAATATTACTTCTGCTCGCGTTTATTGATTTGTTTAAGAATTGGCCGGAGGTAACCTCAGTTACTGGCCATCACGATACTTAACCCTTGAGTACGGGGAGCGGGTCGTGACAGGTATGTTAGGGTGTAAACCTACGTCTACTCCTATGGATCCTAATGTCAAGCTCATATCAAAGTCTAGCAAGTTGCTAAAGGACTCAGGCATGTATCAGCGTCTTGTTGGACATCTATTTTATTTGACCAACACTAGACATGACTTGACGTCTGCAGTCAGTGTTGTTAGTCAATTTATGCATGCACCTCGTACAGAATATCTTAATGTGGTTCCTCACATTTTGAGATATTTGAAGACTTCTCCTAACTTGGGATTATTCTTTACAGCTACTCATCAATCTAAGCTCTCTTGTTTCACTGATGCTAACCATGCAGGATCTAGAACTGATCGACGTTCTACTTTTGGCTTCTGCACTTTCTATGGTGATCATCTTGTATCATGGAAGAGTAAGAAGTAAGGAATTGTTTATAGATGTTATGCCAAAGCTCAGTATCGAGCTATGGCACAAGGAACATGTCAGATTCTATGGATTCATTCTATCCTAACAGAGTTGGGTTTTGAGGAGACTGGTCTTGCCTCCTTATTTTGTGACAACAAGTCTGCTATTATGTTGTCATTTGATTTGTCCTTTATGAGCGTACTAAGCATATAGAGATTGACATTCATTTCATTCAAGAAAAGGTTTGGACTGGTAATGTGAGTCCATCCTTTGTCTCTTCCTCTCAGCAGTTAGCAGATATGTTCATAAAGTCTGTAGGATCGACATTGCTCTAATCATCCATTGGCAAGCTGTGATTGTTAAATATCTTCACACCAGCTTGATGGGGAGTGTTGAATATAAGAATTAAAGTACATAGAATGCTTTTAATTTTAGTATTATGTATATAATCGGTGATTGTATCAATTACTGATTTAGTGCCTTATTTATATCATTTCCTAAATTGTATCATGAATCTATTATATATGCATGGCCTCTACTTCATTCATTGGTAAGTCAAATCATTTTTTTCATCCTTTTAACATAAGACATAGTAAATAGGTTATGGGATCTCTCAAAGGGTATTCGGTGGGCCCAATCATTCGCTTTTCATGTCTCGTTCTCAATATGTGCAGTGTGAAGTAAGTGAGGGTCCAAATCTAGCAAATTCATGGAAAAATCCACTAATCACAAGAAATGACAAATAAAGACCACATCACCAAATTCGAAATCGCCACATAATCTTTTGAGAAAATTAGGAAATCATGACTTGTGCCAATGTAGGCCACTACTCGTCACAACCAAAAAGCTCGGTCTAGGAGTTTAGGTATGGGAGAGTAAGATCATGAATTGAGCACCCCTACTCACTCGATTAAAGATCAATCTCTGCTAATCATTGATATGAGATTCATTGCTAAAATATATCCATATCCCAATTATTAATGCTAACTTTACTATGTGGAACAAACAAATATAGATTGAATCACCTTTTTGGAACATTTTGATCACTTGCATTTTGAAAGGTTTTGACAATGAGTATCTCAAAAGAAACACACGTGCAAAGAGATCGAAAACAATTCCAACTAAGGCAAAACAACCTCTATTTAACGAGAAAACATAGAGATTTATATCTCAAGTAAGCACATAACCTTATGCTAGGATGCTAAACATAATAAAGGAAGCATAAGCGAGATGTAAAGATAAAAGAAGCTCACCTAATTTTCCTCAACACTAAGCCAAACACAAATGCTTAGAAAACATGCGTGATCCTAGATGTGAAAAATTAAATGCAATAACACTCATGAGATGAATCCTATGAGCCCGGATGCTACTATAATGTAATATGAAGCATCTTAAGTGTAAGAGTATATACGAAATGCAATGCGTCAGGCTCCAAATGCATGAACATGGATGCAATGAGTCAGGCTCAAAATGCATGAACATGGATGAAAATCATGAATAAAAAGATGATAAAGAAAATATGATGAAAGAAATCATATGGAAAGCATAAATAAATAAAAGACAGAGCGAGAGAGCGAGAGCGAGAGAGATAAACAAATCAAATAGAAGCTATGCAAAAGAAGAAGCTAACTAGTAAGGTAAACAAAGAAAAAAAATGAGAGAGTTAAAACAAGCTACATCTACCAATTCAAAGTAACTACATATAAAACAAATAGAAACTACAAAGCAAAGAAAAATAGAATGAATCTACTCTCTTCATAATAGAGGTTAACACGAGAGAATAGATTCTTCCATTCAAGTGGGGTGAGTTTATCTTCTCTATCATGGAAAATACACATGAGAATCATAAACTCCTTATCGTCAAATGAAAATGGAAGCAACACGAGACAGGTCTACTTTCTTCATCATAAGAATGAACATAAGAGAGCAGAACACATCATGATCAAGTGAGCATACCAACAATGAGAATGAGTACACTTTCTTCATCACAAGAATGAACATGAGAGAGTAAAACTTCTTTATAATCAAAGTGAGCTAAAGATTTAACATAAAAGATATAGGCTTGGTAGATGTTATACCAGGAATGGAAATTTCTAAAACATTTGATGGCTATGCTATAATGTTGTAATAACCCACACTTATGTCGTAGTCATGTTCATGAACATTGGTATGATTATGACCCGTTAAGCTTGCATTTGCATAATTATGACTTGTTTTGCCTAAGTAAGATCCATGCCTTGTTTTGATGTCTATGTGATTTGTCTAGGTGTTGTGTGCTTGCTTTGTTCCTTCCTTGGTACCTCGAGCCTAACTTATGTTTAGCTGAAGTCGTGCCAAGCCTAGGTTATGTTAAGCCTAGATCATTCCAAGCCGAGGTCATCTTCAGTCTAAAAGTATCTTGGAACCCCTTCGTTTGACCTCTACCTTCGCCCTGACATATTGACCGAGATGGCATTATCTAGGCCGAGGTGTGAGTCGCCAAGGCCGAGATGTGTATCATCTAGGCCGAGATGTTACCTTTGCACCTGAGCGATCTTGTCCTGGAGTGGTATGACCTAGACCGAGGTGTGGCATATCTAGGCCAAGGTGTGGCACAGCTTAGTCAAGTGTCGTCCTCCCTGGCTGAGGTCATTGTCACCTTAGTTACCGAAGCCTTGTCCTTAGCCGATGTCACCACTTGCCGGAGTGCCATACCGAGTAGCTTGTTAGATACACTTTGTCATAGTCTTGTCTTCTCAATCTATCACTTTTTTGAGGAGAGCCAACCAGCTGTTGCCACGTGTCCGAGCTGAGAGTTAAGTCAGCCGATAGAGAGAGAGAACCCATCATTTTGTTGTATACTTGTTTTGAAGAGGAGAGAGAAGCTCTAGGAGAGGAAGAAGAGTTCTTGAGAGAGAGTGGATTTCTAAGCTTGATTCCTAGAGATCGAACCGTTAGATCCGTGTTCTAAGGTTAGATTCTTGATCCACTCTTGTTGTTCTTTATGGTCATGTTATTGCATTGCATGATTGAATATGATTTGTAAGCCATGCATTGCTTTGAAGTTCGGTTTTAGAAAGAGAAAATGACATTCATGTGTTCTTCAAGAAAAGTCGTGTTTTGATCCGAAGGCTCATGCCTAGATCCACGTTTTTGTGTTTGTTTTCGTATGATTTTCAAGTATGGGTACCTAGGTCCATGTTTTCGAACTCATAGCATGAAATCCTAGATTTTTGTTATAAAGAAGTTATGATTTTAGCATCCATGTTCTTCATGATCTTCATGTTCATGTTCTTCCTGTTCTTCACGGGTGGAAACCCAGATCCCCAGACTTCACTGCACGAGGTGTAGCCGTCGAGATCACTCTCACCTAGACCTCACACTTAGGCCAAGCATCGTATCTCACCTTGGCCTACCTTGCATGATCACTTACACCTTTAGTTGTCTTGTGCGCACCTCGGCATGCAGCCGCATGCCGAAGCCTAGGTAGCCACACCTTGGCCAGGAGGTGTGGGACCTCGGCAAAGACTTGGTTGGTACCCAGCATGTCTTCCTGACATGTAAAACAGTGTTTTGACTTCTAGCATATTTTTCCGAGATTATTTGCATGCATGTGAGACTAGTTTGAGAAGTGCATTCAGTATGCTTTGCCATGTGTTTGTAGGACTTGGACCTTTGCCTTGACCCCGACGTCCCAAGAGCTATGTGAGTGGTATTTTTAATAAAGTTATGTTCTTAAGGTTTTGATAAAGTTTTGCCTTGTTTTGATAAAAGTATTTGTTAAGCATGAATGATATCCCTATTTTATGTATCAAGTATAAGCTTTGTTTTGGATGACATTCTTGGAACCGTCCTTTCGTGTTAGGGGACGTTAAGCCTAAGTAACGCCGTCCTTCCGTGTTAGGGGACGTTAAGCCTATGTAGCATAGTCCTTCCGTGCTAGGGGACTTTAAGCCTAGGTAGCACCGTCCTTTCGTGCTAGGGGACGTTAAGCCTAAGTAGCACCCTTGTTAAGATATCGGCCGCCAACGTACTATGAACGGGTGCGCTCGATGCCAAGGTTATGCTTTTGTTTTGCCCGGAATGTCATCACCCCTTGTTTTAAGATTTGACGCATGTTAAGTAAGTAAGCAAGTTTTGAAAGACCAAGATTCGAATGATGTTTCATTTCAAGCCAGCTAAGCTATGTTGTGTATGATTTTGACAAGGATATATTATGTATTGTTTTGAAAAGATCTCGGGTATCATTCATTTAACCCCTTTATTACTTGTACCATTCACTGAGTATCCAAGCTCACCCTCCCTATGTATGTATATAAGTAAAAAGCAAGAAGTCGGCTACGCTGAGATGTGTGTTTTGTATGCAAGTTATGCCGGCAGTGAGGATGTCAGCAAACTAGAAAATTATGTTTCATGATTTGTGGCTCAAGTGTTTTTGTTCATGTCGGCAATTTTTGAAGCTTATGTATTTTGAACATGTCGGCTCGAGAAGCCTTTTTCCAAGATGTAATATATATTTTTGTACTTCATTTCTATTTGTATTCAAGTTGTAAAGCTATGTAAGGATGTATGCCATTTCATTTGACTTATGCACTGCTCTTATGGACCACTTGTATTTTAGATTATTGCTTCCGCACTTGTGAGCCCCCTATATCTATACTCTGATTGTGTGTGAATTTTGGAAGTTGGCCTTTGGTAATCACGGATTACTGGCCATCACGGCACCAAACTACTAGGGGCGGTTTGGGGTTGTGACAAATGTAATCTCACTACATTATGAAATTCTTGATAAATATGGCAAAGATGATGATCATATTATTAGAACGCCTGTAGACTGAAATCTACATTTATCAAAGAATAAAGGAGAGGGGATTTCACAATTAAGATATGCTTAAACAAATTGGAAGTTTGATGTATCTAATGAACTACACAAGACTTGATATTTTTATGTAGGTAGTAAATTAAGTAGATACACAAGTAACCCACATGGAGTACGCAGTACCACTCATGGAGCTAGCTTCTCGAGAGGATGACAAATGCCCAATCCGTAACAAGCGGTATCAGAGCCAGTCTAGAAGCACTGTGATGGAAAAGATGTGTGAGACTTACACCAAACACCTTCTTTGTCAGGTCCGCAACAAGGATAGTATTTGTGCGGAACGAGTTTCTCATGAATAAAGAAACGGTCAAACATTGAGACAGGCAAGATGTCCTCCTGATGAGGCTTAAGGGATTGGTGATGATAGCATGACACATATCAACTCATTGATATGCAAGTTCTATATTAAATATCTTGCAAGCATATTAATTTACAACAATGATTCATCCCACTAAAAACATCACCACTAATAGCACTAATGCATTAAAAAAGTAAAAAAAAATAAAAAAAAATACAACTCCAAGACCAAAACATCACATCATTAATAACGGGACCCACTGCCACCTAATTAGTGGGAGCACTAATTAGTGCTCCCAAGCATTTTTCATTAATTTATGAGTAGGAAGATAAACAGAATAAATCCCTATCACATTGAGTTGATCTTTACGTATAATTCATGAGAAATGAGATATGCATTACCAATTGTGAAACCGGCTTGACCAGTTGAGGCGGTTGCGATGATATGGCAGTTTTTCATTCGTCATTTGGAGCAACTAGAGAGAAGACATCCATTCTCATCCTTTAACGGATAAAGGCGGGAGACCCTAACCGAACTATCCACCTCCAAATTTCTCTCTCTCTCTCTCTCTCTCTCTCTCTACAATGGCAACAACTGCCTCTGTGACACCCCTGTCTTCCACTTTCTCAACACCCTCTTCAACTCCAAAACCTCCATCATCTCATCCATCTTCCATCTCCTTCAAAACCTACCAAAATTTCAAGCAACCCAATTCCACAATTAGAAGAGAATTCCTCAAAGGAATGGCTGTGACACCACTCTTTGTATTGCAAGAACACGCCCTCGCTCGCGAGATCGAGGTGGGTTCGTTCCTCCCCCAATCGCCTTCCGACCCTTCCTTTGTCCTCTTCAAGGCCTCTCCCAAAGACACTCCAGCTCTTCGAGCAGGTAATGTTTATAATTCAATTGCTTCATAAATTGTTTTGTAAACATTCTTTTAATCAATGTAATGTATACTAATTTGGGAATGTTGAATTTTGTAATTTGTTTGTAATGATTATGAGGGGGAGATTAATTACTGTACTTGGTTGTTTGCACAAAATTCAACCTCAATAAAAGGGTACATGAATTGGCCAGGAATCTGTGTCAAGAAGCAAATGTCTTGAGCTCAAGTCATCTAATTTGGGGCCAATTCCAAGAATTTATGTGTAATTGCCTCTTTTGATAGAGACTACATGTACTGTGAACTAGTCAGGTTCTTTAAGAGGCTGAATACCCTATTAACCAAAAAACCCCGAAGAAAAAAAATATATGCATAAGTGTCTACTTGCTATGTTTTTGGAGATTTACTAGTGTTATAGGGTAGAATGTAATGAAATGATCAACACACACACACGCACACACAGGGAGAAGAAGAAGAATTACAACATTCCAGCTGTCATGAGAATAATAACTTCTCTAACAAAATCTATAACAACTATTCTAACTGAATCTATAATAATCAACCATAACTAACTATATCTAACTCCAAGATCAGTGTATTCTAACAGAATGAAGGTTGCTAATTGTTAGGTGTGAGATGTAATTGATGAGTTGGACTGATCTTCAAGAGGATGGAATCAAGAGGACTTAATGTTTGAATTGCTCTTGTTTAACTCTGCTTTTTTAAATTCATTCATTTGATGTGGTAGTCTCTTGTTAACATGTGGTACCAATGGAATTCATATTCAATGTCTTGGCAACAATATCAGTAAGGACTTTGTCCTTGACAAGATAGGGTGGTTGACAATGATAATTGAGGTTGCATTGTTCATCTACCTAGCTTGAACTAGGCTATGTCCATGTGCTTGATTTGGTAGTGCTTGTGCTAAACATAAATAATACCGTGTTTATCTTGTAGAATAATTTCTATTATTGCTACTCTTTCTCAGGAATTATTTCTCAGTTTGTCAACAATAATATAGATAGATAGATAGATAGATAGATAGATAGAGATACAAATTGTTTTTATGGTACTTGACAATCTAAGAAGTACGGACACTTCTAAGATGGTGATGTGTCCATGTCGGGCACCAATGCTTGTTGGACACTTCCCAACTTGTGTCCAACAAAAGAAATTTAGACCTAGACACTTTGAGGACACAAATGTTCATCATTTAGACATCCATGAAACTAATTATAAGTTTGAACAAAATAACTTGTGACCTAATGACAAAAGAAAAACAATGTAAATTTATTGGAATTGGTATTAATTATGTTGCATTTATTTGTTATTATCTGTGAATGATATATTCATATATATGACATATAATGAATATATGCAATTATTCATTTCGTGGTTGTTTTCCACTTGTCATGTCCTATTGTCGTGGCAGCATATCTATGTCATATTCCTATCATGTCACGTGTTTGTGTGGGAAAGGGTTCAAGGCCACTTTCTTAGAAGAATCACAATTTTAGAATTGTCACACCTATTCATGTAGTTAGCCTCAGATAGTTGGGACAAAGATTAGCTAAGCTAAGGAGACTTATTCTTGTAGAGATCTATGGTTTGAGATATATCAGCTCGCAATGCTCCTACAACTTTTTTGCACATTTGCGGTTCCTGCAAATGCAAGGTAGTAAAACTAGGCACATGATTTTCTGCTGAGAATGATGTAAAGGCACTCAGCTCTTTTCATTGTGGTGGTGATGATTTATATATGAAAACATGACCTCGATGTTATTTTGTCCTAATGGACATTGATGGGTTTGCCTTGGTTTTTTTTTTTTCAATGGAATAGTTTGCCGCAGTTGTTTGGCTAAACATGTCGTTAATTGGCAATTGATGTGTTGTCTTTGATTTTGTATTATAGGAGTCCAACTACAATATGCTCTAGGTCAGAGTGTTCCTCTATTTAAACTATTTTACAAAGCTTTATTTATACTAGCAAATTGAAAGTTTTGGACTTTAGAATTCCTAAAATTAAAAAGTCTAAAAGATGAGGAAATAATAGATACCCACATTGTTTTTATTTTATTGTTGAAATCTAAGTTATTTTCATCTTACTTACAACGCATTTCATGTGTGTCTAAATGATAAACTATATGTTCCCAAAGTGTTCGAAACATGTTGAGGAGTGTCCAACAACTGCCTGTGCTTCTTAGCCTAAAGATCAATAATCTTTTTATTTTGTTATTAAAATTCTATGCTTTCTATTTGTATATCTTCAAATAATCTAGAATGATGGGAGAAACAACTTCACCATTTTTACAAGGGCTATTGAGTTAGAAATGATCTGAGGACAAAGTTTCTATTGTTCAACTCTGAAAGCACCAGTTGTAGCCTTGGTTGTAGTTGAATTTCTTAAAGTTGATCTAGTATATGCCTTTTGCACAACTTGGTTTGACATAATTGTTGTTAGGCCTTGAAAGGGGGTGGAGAATTTAATAGACAAGTCTTAAGAAAAAGAAAAGGAAAAAGAAAAAAAAAAAAGAGAAAAAATTTAGTTCATTGTCACTTCATCTTTTATGTATACTTCTAGTTATATAGCATGTTAGGTTGAATTATATAAGAACTAAAGTGTCTTACTGCTTCCTAAATCCTAATCACAACCGGCAAGGTTACATAAAGGGCACTATTTAAAGCCTTTCTTGATCTCTACAATTTCATTGTTGCTGTGCTTTCACAGTCTGCAATATTTGATTATATTGATGTTTGTGATGATGTGTTATGTGTTTTATATTTTGTTTTAGTTGTTTAGTAGCCTTAGAATTATTTATGTACTTTGAATCATATTAATAGACATACATGTGTCTATGAGAGAGCACTATTTTTGGTCTGTCTTGTTAGCCAATTACTGTGTCTCTCTCTCCCTTTATTCTTGTCTTTTCCTTACACTGTAAATTCAACTGTGTTCTGACACACTGTATTTTTTCTTCCATTCAGGTTAAGCTTTTATCCTATGATAATTTATTTAGGGAGCTTCCATTAACCAAGAGAAACTCCATTTTAGGAAAAAACAATCTGCCACTAACCCTTTTCTACTGCAACCACTCAGCCCATCTCTCTTGCCTTTCTTTTTTATTTTTTATTTTATTTTATTTTTTTTCAGGTTTCTGTACTTTAGTTCCTTCTCTATATGTTAAGGAAACCTCCAATCTAGTTGCTTGCAGGAAATGTGCAGCCGTATCAGTTCATCCTTCCTCCTACTTGGAAACAAGCACGTGTAGCTAACATACTTTCTGGCAATTACTGTCAACCCAAGTGTGCAGAGCCTTGGGTGGAAGTGAAGTTCGAAGACGAAAATCAGGGAAAAGTTCAGGTAGTGGCTTCTCCTTTGATACGACTAACTAACAAACCCAATGCAACAATTGAAGATATTGGAAGCCCTGAGAAGGTCATTGCTTCCCTTGGCCCTTTTGTCACTGGCAACTCATATGACTCAGATGAACTGCTTGAAATTTCAGTTGAGAAGCAAGGTGATCAAACGGTATATATTTTCAATCCTTGAAGTTTATCTCATGTTTTCATTGTTTTATTTAAATTTTTTTGGGTCAGTTTATTCTTCTCATTTTACCTACCATCTTTTTTGGCCACATGGCACAAAAACAGAGAATATATATTTGGTAGTCACCAGTTGTAGAGATGTTCGGATATGAGGCATCTTGATCCAACTTCAATTTATTTTTCAGTGTAATATGATAGGAGAAAAATTGTCATGGCTATGTAACACTGAACATAGGTTTTAAAATAATGAAACACTAGTTTGCTTAAGTTATGCATAAGACCAATTACAGCTTGGCAACCCAAAAGGCCATGAGAAGGCACATAATAAGCACAGACACGGATATGGACATTATGCACAGACACGGACACGGACATGGACATGGACACGGAGCACGGTGATTTCAAAAAAATGGGGGCATAGACACGGCGGGAAAACGACAATAACATATGTTTTCATATATTTTTATTTACTATCTAGATTAATATTACATCTGCAAACAATCAAATATTAACAAAACTAACTCTAATTATATTTTTTGTCTTTTATTTTTTTAAAAAAGTTAAATAAATCAACACTTACCATTTATATCTTTTTTATGGATGATCTATTAAGTATTTAAATCTAAGAAAAAAATAACAAACATTCAATATTCATCAAAAGCACTAAAGGAAATGGGGGAAAAGACAAGTTGACATGTCCGTAGTGTATCCCCAAAGTGTCCCTAGCGTGTCTCCTAAAAATAAATTAATTAAATAATGGGACACGGCACATGCGTGTCCCCGAGGTGACTGTGTGCCCCGAACTGTCCGTGTGTCCAACACGGGTACGGCACTTGTTTTGAAGTGTCGATGCTTCATAAGAAGGCACTATGAGACGTGACCATATCCAATAGGAATATAGGATTGAATTTTGAAGTTTTTCAGAAGGTCAAGTTGTTTTAATCATCTATAATGAAAAGAATGGCTATTTTTCTGCAAATCTAGGGAGAGGAAGTATAGCTTATCAACTCTTGACGGCTTTTTTTTTTTATATTTTTATTTTTTAATGTGCTAACAGTTAAGAGATTGATTTCCTTCTTGTTGATGTCTATTGGCTTTGTTTGCTAAATTCAGGTGGTTTAGATTGATTTCCTTCTTGTTGATGTCTATTGGCTTTGTTTGCTAAATTCAGGTGGTTTGGAAGATAATGATAATGTATTGAACCTCCTGTGTGTTAGCTTGGTTTTGTTAGTTTGTTTTGCTGTTAGTTTTAAGGTCCATTATAAAATTTGTGCTTTAATACACACTTGAAGAAACTGAAGTAAAACCTATTCACTTAAATGGTATGTAGGGATGGCAATGGATAACCTACCCTGTGGGTATCCATGGAGATCCAACCCAAATACATGGGTTTTCCCCTCTTTTTCTTATCCATTGGGTAGGGTAGGTGATATTCTTTAAATATCCACAGGGGATGGGTTGGGGATGGGTACCCACT